AGCTAATCTGTACATTAGTGCAATTTACACGCTCGGGTAAGAGTATTAGTTCCTTATCTGGCGATGTCCTTGTGGTGGGAAGCTGTCCTACGGATGGTGCGTGGAGAAGGGAAGGTTGATTAATTGTTCTCGCCATCTGGAAATTTCTCCTTAGTTTTTCTCCTTGATAATTGTCCCAAAGGTCCTTTTTTCAAGAGGCAACTGGACTTTCTTATTTTTTATTTTTTTTTAAAGACGTTTCGCTTCTCCTCAGGGGTGAAATCCAGCAGGTTCTGACAGGTTCTGGAAAACCAGTAGCAGAAAATTTTAATAGTTCGGAGAACCGGCAAATACTATCTCTGGCTGGCCCCAGGAGTGGGGAGGGAATGGGGATTTTGCAGTATCCTTCCCCCAGGAGTGGGGTGGGAATGGAGATTTTGCAATATCCTTCCCCCAGGAGTGGGGAGGGAATGGGGATTTTGCAGTATCCTTCCCCCAGGAGTGGGGTGGGAATGGGGTGGGAATGGGGATTTTGCATGCCCACGGAAGTGGTAGTAAAAAAATTTGAATTCGACCACTGCTTCTCATCCAAGAAGCTTCTTCAGCCAGCTCTGCCTGGATGGTGGAGGATGGAAGGATTTATATTCCTTGCATTGAATTTCTATCCTTCCATTCCCCACCATCCAGTCAGAGCTGAAGAAGCTTCTTGGAAGAGAAGCGAAATGTCTTCAAAGAAAAAACCAGAAAGCTTCTTGAAAAAGCACCTTTGAGATGATTATCAAGGAGAGAGTCAACCTAGAACTAAGGAGAAATTTCCAGACAGTGAGAACAATTAATCAACCTTCCCTTCTCCATGCACCATCCGTAGGACAGCTTCCCTCCACAAGGACATCACCAGATTTTTTTTTTTTTAATTTGATTTATATGCCGCCCTTCTCCGGAGACTCAGGGCGGCTTACAATGCTTTTAAGCAATATTGAGACTCTAGAAAGAGTGCAGAGAAGAGCAACAAAGAGGATTAGGGGACTGGAGGCTAAAGCATATGAAGAACGGTTGCAGGAACTGGGCATGTCTAGTTTGATGAAGAGAAGGACTAGGGGAGACATGATAGCAGTCTTCCAATATCTCAGGGGCTGCCCCAAAGAAGAGGGAGTCAAGCTATTCTCCAAAGCCCCTGAAGGCAGGACAAGAAGCAACGGGTGGAAACTAATCAAGGAGAGAAGCAACTTAGAACTAAGGAGAAATTTCCAGACAGGGAGAACAATTAATCAGTGGAACAACTCGCCTCCAGAAGTTGTGAATGCTCCAACACTGGAAGTTTTTAAAAAGGTATTGGATAACCATTTGTCTGAAGTGATCTGAAACTTCACAGTGGGGTGAAGATTTACTAGCTGTTAGTTCGTCCCTCCAGTGTCTTTTTCCAAGGGGTGCAAGGGACAGAGGCTGGGGGATCCCACAGCTCAGTATGCACCCCATTCTCCTCTTGCTTTTACAGTACAGGTAGTACTCGACTTACGACCCCAGTTGAGCCCAAAAAATTCTGTTGCTAAATGAGATAGTTATTAAGTCAGTTTTGCCTCATCACATGACCCCGGGACACAGTAAGTGGCGTCTTGGTGGCGCAGTGGACTAAAACACTGTTAAGTAGCACCAGCAGCCTGCAATTACTGCAAGTTCAAATCTCCCCAGGCTCAAGGTTGACTCAGCCTTCCATCCTTCTGAGGTAGGTAAAATGAGGACCCGGTTTGTGGGGGCAATAAGCTGACTTTGTATAAAAAAGAACACTGCTTGGGGGGACCGAAAGCCCTACTAAGCAGGTATATACAAAAGTATGAAGGCTATTGTTTAACGCATTGTAAGCTGCCCTGAGTCTCCGGAGAAGGGCGGCATATAAATCGAACCAATAAATAAATAAATAAATAACCAATGACCAAGCGTCCAAATTTTGATCACGTGACTAGTGTTAAGTGCGAAAAGTGGTCATAAGTCCCCCCCCCTTTTTTTAGTGCTGTGGTAACTTTGGTCACTAAACGAATGATGGTAAGTCAAGGACCACTCCTATTTATTTTTGTAAGAATAACTTCTTAGAAAATAATTTCGGAGAATTTTCTTCTGAAAGGTTTTTCAAAGAAGAAAATAAATATGCCAAAGGTTTCATTTGTGTGTGTGTGTGTGTGTTTTTCTTTAGTTATGTCTAAGCGTTGGTTGGGTGTGCCAATGCCCTGCCTCTCCTTGCACAATTCTGTTTATGGCCGTCTGCAGAATGGAAGGTGTGGCCTCTCATCCAACACCTCTGGATTCCTCGAAATGGAGAAACCGGACAACCCGTTTAAATTTCCTTGTGTGACCAGTTTCCCTGCGGGTGTACATGGCTGTTTCCAACATTGATCATAGGCAATCCTGGCAGCGGTTAATATGTGTAGTACTGAATATTTTGTGCCCTTCACATATTTTTTTTTTTTTAAGATCCCCAATAGGAAGAGTTCCGGTTCTAAGTCTAATTGTTCATTAGTAATTTCCTGTAGCCAATCTTTAATTTTTAGCCAATATTTTTGAGCCTCAGGACAGGGCCACCACATATGGTAGTATGTTCCCTCTTTCTTTTTACATTTCCAACATATGGGGCTCGTTTTAGGGTACATTTTCGCTAAACTCGAAGGGGGTAAGTGCTAACCTGTAGAACATTTTCATATATGCGTTTTCTTTATATGCTGCTGATTTTGTTAGTTTATGGTTTCTGAATTGCGCAGAAATGGACAAATTAACACTGAGTTTAAAAGATAAAGAGACATTGATATTTTACAATGTGTGGGAACAGTGGTATAACTGGATAGAACGGAGATAGATTGAAGATAGATAGTTATTAAGTACAAGTAATAGATAAAATAAGAATGTAAATACGCACAATTTAATTTTTGTAAATAATGCACGAATTATTGTCACAAGAAAAACACCACAATTACTGTAGCTGTTGTTGAGTGAAATAATTTTTTATGTTTTTAATGTAATAAAAGTTTAATAAAGTGTTTATATAAAAAAAAATTCCTTGTGGCTGAAAGCTACTCTTGGTGAAAACTCAGCTTCAAGATTTCTGCTGTTCCCATAATAAGGCAGGCTCTAAAATGAGCATTCAAATGTTTTAAATATTTTGAGGATTCTGACAATACGGTGGAAAGAAGCATTAGAAAAATGGAGAGCTGGCCCAACAGAAGACTCTAACCCAGAAGCCGTTCCTTAAATGTGCTTCCGGTGACGTATCCCCACAGGGTATAAGAGTTTGGTTTCGTAGTTAAGGCGCTGGGCTAGAAATCGAGAGACAGTGAGTTCTAGTTCTGCCTTACGCATGGAAGTTGGCCGGGAAACTTTTAGCCAATCTCCGGGAGACGGTGAGTTCTAGTTCTGCCTTAGGTGTGGAAGCTGGCTGCGTGACTTTGGGCCAATCACCAGGAGACAGTGAGTTCTAGTCCTCCCTTAGGTGTGAAAGGTAGCTGGGTGACTTTGGGCCCATCACCAGGAGACGGTGAGTTCTAGTCCTGCCTTAGGTGTGAAACCTGGCTGGTGACTGGGCAATCACCAGGAGACAATGAATTCTAGTCCTCCCTTAGGTGTGAAAGCTGGCTGGTGACTTTGGGCCAATCACAAGGAGACAGTGAATTCTAGTCCTTCCTTAGGTGTGAAAGCTGGCTGGATAACTTTGGGCCAATCACCAGGAGACGGTGAGTTCTAGTCCTGCCTTAGGTGTGAAAGCTGGCTGGGTGACTTTGGGTCAATCATCAGGAGACAGTGAATTCTAGTCCTGTCTGAGGAGGTGTAAGACCCAGTTGGGAGACTTAGAGCCAGTCCCTCTGTCTCTCAGCATATCCCACCTCACAGGGTTGTTGTGGGGAAAAAGAGGAAGGAATATTATGCAATTTGCCACCTTGTATTACTTATAAAGTAATAGCCGGATTAAAAAACTCTAATCAATCAATCAATGGGAGTGTAGAGTGCCCTCCAGATGCTCCCTGGATGTCTCTGCGAAGAGGAGAAGGTGCACCAGAAGGCAGAGCTGTCCTTGGTGAAAAAAATGGTCAATGGTGAAAAAAGGAAGGTTCTACATTTAGGCAAGGAAAACCAAATGCACATGTACAGTATATGTGGTACTTCGCTCAATAGTAGTAACTGTGAGAGGGATCTTGGAGTCCTAGTGGACAACCATTTAAATAGGAGCCAGCCGTGTGCGGCAGCTGCCAAAAAAGCCAACACAGTTCTAGGCTGCATCAACAGAGGGATAGAATCAAGATCACGTGAAATGTTAATACCACTTTATAAGGCCACACTTGGAATCTTGCATCCAATTTTGGACGCCATTTTGTAAAAAAGATGTGGAGACTCTAGACAGAGTGCAGAGAAGAGCAACGAAGATGAGGAGGGGACTGGAGGCTAAAACATATAAAGAACGGTTGAAGGAACTGGGTATGTCTAGTAGTTTAATGAAAAGAAGGACTCGGGGTGACATGATAGCAGTCTTCCAATATCTCAGGGGCTGCCCCAAAGAAGAGGGAGTCAAGCTCTTCTCCAAAGCACCTGAGGGCAGGACAAGAAGCAACAGGTGGAAACTAATCAAGGAGCGAAGCAACTTAGAACTAAGGAGAAATTTCCTGACAGTGAGAACAATTAATCAGTGGAACAACTGGCCACAGAAGTTGTAAATCCTCCAACACTGGAAGTTTTTAAGAAGATGTTGGGTAACCATTTGTCTGAAGTGGTGTAGGGTTTCCTGCCTAAGCAGGGGGTTGGACTAGAAGACCTCTAAGGTCCCTTCCAACTCTGTTATTCTTAAAACCTTTCCAACGTCTCTTGAACATTTCTGCTGCTTTTGGGCGAGGTAGCGGAGACGGTTCCTCCGTCCGCAGAGAAGCCAGACTTTAACACCTAACTTTAACACACTTCACTGGTCAAGTGTGCCAAGAGGGGCTGGGTTTCCTCCAGATTTCCACATTAATTACCCTAATTACACCCAGCGCTGTGTTCCTTCTGGACGGGCAGAGGTCACAGACTTTGCCTGTTCCTCCTGCAACCGAGGGCGCAGTGCCGGATCGGTTCCTTCGGCCTGCAGACGGTGTGGGCACGGGGCTCGGCTGCGAGGATGAAGGTTGAATTCGCTCCTCGCCACCTCCCGCTGGAGAGAAGGCTCCAAACGGCATCCGTGCTTCAATGGGTCTTCAGTTTTTTGTGCCTGGGTAAAACAAAAAAATATATATTATTTTTAATATTAATTTTAATTCAGGGGACGTTTTTTAAGAATCTGGAGGGTGGGGGGGCGGAGGATGGGAGGGGGCCGCCTTTTAAAGAGTTGCCAGAAAATCTCCACCAGTGCCTGCTTTGCTCATCAAAATCGAAGGGTGCATTTTGCAAAAATAAGACACTGAGATGGACAGGCATCTGTTTTTGGAAGCTTGTTATAGGGCAGGGATCGGCCTTTCTTGTCTGGACAGAGATTCATTTAGCGGCCAAAGTTACAACAGTGACCTTATCGCAGTTATTCACGCTTATGACGGTTGCAGCATTCCCGTGGTGAGGTGATCAGAATTTGGCAACTGCTTCATATTTATGACGGTTGTGTTGCAGTGTCCCGGGGGGGTGGGGGTGGGGGTGGGTCATGTGATCCCCCTTTGCAACCTCCTGACAAGCATAGTCGATGGGGAAAGCCCGATTCGCTTAACAACCGGGTTGTGGACTTAACAACGGCAGTGGCTCGCTTGCGGCGAGAAAGGTGTAAAATAGGGCGAAACTCACTTCACCGTTCAAAGTTACGACGGTACTGAAAAAAAGGCAGCTTTGGTTGCTATGATGTTAAAAAAGATGTGGAGACTCTAGAAAGAGTGCAGAGAAAAGCAACAAAGAGGATTAGGGGACTGGAGGCTAATATATATATATATTCTCTTTCCGTAGGTCTTTATGTGTATTTTTCTCTCAGCCAGGTTTTTCCTACGTAAATCAAGATCTTTATACAGCCATAGTTAAGTGAAATCTCATTCACTAGTTTCTAGGCTTTATCAGACATCAAACCAGCATTTTGCTGTCTGTTGTGAGACTTAAGGGAGACTAAGATAGATCTATTTCTGACTAGTTTGTCTTCTTCAGTTAGCCACACCCTCATCTCATGTCTCCTCCCTGTAAAGGTCAAATATTTATTTTATTCTCTTTCCGTAGGTCTTTATGTGTATTTTTCTCTCAGCCAGGTTTTTCCTACGTTTTTCCACTAGAAACTAGTGAATGAGATTTCACTGAACTATGGCTGTATAAAGATCTTGATTTACATAGGAAAAACCTGGCTGAGAGAAATATATATATATGTTTTCTGAGGTTTTCGCGGGTATTTGTATGTAGGTCTTTGGTTATTCGGGTTTTCTCCCGCGTAAAATTGGAAGTGTCTTGGTGACGTTTCAACGAAGTCTCATTCGTCATCTTCAGGCTGGTGTTTTCGGCTTCGTGCTTCTAAGAGCAATGTGAAATCGCAGCTGTTTCTTCCTTTTAACTGCTAGTGGGGGTGTGAACTGATTGGGTGGGAGCTTGGCTGTGTTCTGATTGGGTGGAGGTGTGTTCTGATTGGTTGGGGGTTTGGCTGTGCTCTGATTGGACGGGGGGTTGGCTGTGCTCTGATTGGATGGGGGTGTGTTCTGTTTAGGTGGGGGCTTGTTTGTGCTTGTGTTGGTCTGAGTTGCAGGGGGATTTGAGCTGGTGAGCTGCATTGCTGTTGTTTAGCTTCGCATTCGTGGTCGTGCCACATCTTCATGGTGGGTGTCAGTTTGCTTCATGTATGGGTTGAAGGGATTTAAAGTGGCTAATGATGCAGCTGTGGTCTGGCTTCTGGTTTGTGGTCGTGCTTCATCGGTGTGGGTTTGCTTTTTGCGTGGATGTGTGGTGGTGACATCCTGCGTGGTTTTCGTGAGTGTGGGTCTGGTATATATAGGGTCCCCTATATATATATATAGGGGTGACATGATAGTATATTCCAATTTCTAAGGGATCACCACAAAGAAGGGGGCGCAACCTATTCTCCAAAGCACCTGAGGGCAGGACAAGAAGCAATGGGTGGAAACTAATCCAGGAGGGAAGCAACCTAGAACTAAGGAGAAATTTCCTGACAGTGAGAACAATTAACCAGTGGAACAACTTGCCACCAGAAATTGTGGGTGCTCCAACTTAAGAAGAGATTGGGCAACCATTCATCTGAAAGGGTATAGATCTCCTGCTTGAGCAGGGGGTTGGACTAGAAGACCTCCAAGGTCCCTTCCGACTCTGCTATTCTGTTATTCCTGATTAGGGAATGAAACAGGTTAAGATGGTTTTGATTTGTGGGATCCCTAACCATCCTCCATTTTTTTCCCTCCAGCTCAGTGCTGCATTGCCGTCTTCATCCTCCTCCTCTTCACTCGCTTCTGGCTGATCAGCGCCCTCTACGCTGCCTGGTGGGCTTTCGACTGGGACACCCCGAGCAAAGGTGGGCGGAGATTCTGCTGCGTCCGGAATTCCATCCTCTGGCGATACATGAAAGATTATTTCCCCATCACGGTACGTGTCCCCCTACTGGCGAGGAGTATAATGGCATGTGAGAAAGACCTTGGGAGACGGAGGTCAAGAGATGCTGTATGATGACCCCGGTCACGGCACAGAGATAACACAAACAGCTGGCAGTTCAAACCGGCCCTTTATTGCTCCAAATTTCCCCAAATGCTCCCACGTTTCTGGCCAGTCCCAGAGCAAAGTGATGTCAAACCCCCCCACACACCTCAAGCAGCCCCTGGCTGCAAATAGTCCAGCCCAGTGCTGTGTACACCAAGGCTGCACAGCAATAAATCCAGCAGGGCAAAGCAAGGAGTTCAGGAAGCAAAGGATCCAGGTAATTAGTTCAGAAAGCCAGAAAGAATGCAAGGACTCTTGGGAAGTTCAAATGTCGGCACTCAACACTTCAGGAACTCCGCGTTTGTTCCTGACAAATGCCCTTTCCCACAGCGTCTCCTTAAGTCTCATTCTCCAGGTGTGCGTTGTGAAAATGGGCGGGGCATTCTCCTTTTGAGTAGTCGGCTCAGTCTGCACTGCACCCCCACCCCCCACCCCCGTAGATTCAGGCTCCAATGTGGGTATGACATGGAACAGTCAGTTTGGAAACAGTCAGATAAGAGACAGCATAGCCTCCAGCTGCACAATGGGTGGAGAGAGAGGTTGTAATTCAGATGACAGGAGATTTTCACAGGTAATCCTCATTTAGTGAATGTTGGAGCAAAAGTAAGAACTGAAATCTATTTCACCATTACATTTGAAAAATGTCCACAGGCGGCCTTCGACTTATAACAATTTGTTTAGTGACGTTTTGAAGTTACAACAGCAACAGAAAAAAGTGACTTACGACTAGCTTTTCAAACTTACGACCATGACTGCAACTCTGTAGTCATCTGATCAAAGTTTGGATGACTCATATTTATGACGGTTGCAGTGCCGTGATCCCCTTTGGCGACCTTCTGACAAGCAAAGTCAACGGGGGGGGGCAGATTCACCTTGTGACTAACTGAACAACTGCAGTGATTCACTTAACAACGCTGGCAAGAAAGGTTGTAAAAGCGGGCAAAAACTCCCTGAACAATGTCTTGCTTAAGCAGCGGAAATTTTGAGGTCAACTCCGGTCGTAAGTCGAGGACTGCCTGTATCATAATTTCATGATTTCCCTTGTTCTGTGCAAACGGTCCAAAGAGAGTTTCCAATTAGCGTTAAAATTTCAGTTAGTCCTCGGGTTTATCGAATGTCGAAATAAGATGGGCAATTTAACGGCAAAAAAAAGGCATCCGATAATGTGCGCTAATGATCGCTTCATTAATCGAGGGATTTTATGCAAAAACGATGTGCCACAGGAGGGAAAAACAAAGAGCGAATTGATTGAGGTTGAGGGACAAGCGGTAGGAAAATCTGTGATCTATTAGATCATCGTTTTATAGAGATTCCCTCCTCAGATGTTTTTAACAACGGTAGATGCCTCTGGAGATTCTCGGTCATCCGTAGTTGTCCCAAAGGTGCTTTTTCAAGAGGCAACTGGACTTTCTGGTTATTTTTTTAAAAAAGACACTTCTCTTCTCATCCAAGAAGCTTCTTCAGCTTGACTGGATGGTGGGGAACAGAAGGATTGATATTCCTTGCAGACAAGACAGCTGGTCATTTGCATCCGTTTAGAGAGTCGTTGAGGCCACTTGGAGGTTTGTCTGTGTCCTCAGGGTCACCTGAATAGTAGGGTCCCCTCAACAACCTCAACAAAACATCCTGCAGCCACGAAAGCTCCACACCCATTTGCATCACTCAGGTGACCCACAGACAAACCTCCAAGTGGCCTCAACGGCCCTCTAGAAGGATGCAAACGACCAACTGTCTGCAAGGAGTATCAATCCTTCCATTCTTCACCATCCCGTCAGAACTGAAGAAGCTTCTTGGATGAGAAGCGAAACGTCTTCAAAAGAAAAACCAGAAAGTCCAGCTGTCCCTCGGAAAAAAAAGCATCTTTGGGACCACCGTGATAGAGTTTCTCACGTACTTGAAAAGATCTGAAACTTAATCCTCAATTTACGACCGTAACCGAGCCCAACATTTATGGCTGATTCCGGATCTCCGCACTTTCCGTAAGGCCCTGAAGGCGTTTTTATTTCAGCAAGCCGGCCTGGCCTGAATAGGTTTTATGGGTTAGTTTTTAATTGTATAGCTAGGGGTTTTAAATTGGGAGGCCGATTAATTTAATTTATTTTTAATTATCTTAACTTTTATATTGTATGTTATCTTAATTCTCGGCTGTTCATTGCCCTGAGTCCCTTCGGGGAGAAGGGCGGGATATAAATTCAATAAATAAAATAAATAAATAAATAAAAAATAAATGTTGCTAAGTGAGAAATTTATTAAGTGAATTCCCCCCCCCCCTTTTCACCATTTTTCTTGCCACATTTGTTAAGCGAATCACTGCAGTTGTTAAGTTAGTATCGGGCTTCCCCATTGTGAGAAGGTTGCAAAATCATGTCACCCTGGGGCACTGCAACCGTCATAAATATGTCTCAGTTGCCAAGCCTCCAAATTTTGATTGGGGGGGGGGTCACCTGAGCGGTGGCTCCTGGTTTCTGTAGTCCGCAATTTTTTTCCCTCTGGAAATCCATTCCTACTCCCACATCATTCAAAGGGTGTTCATCAGAGGTGGGCTTCGAAATTTTTAGCAAGGGGTTTTCTGCCCGGTTGCCAGGTGGGTGTGGCCATGGTGGGTGTGGCCTAGTCAGCCTCCTGCTGCATGGCGGGAGGCATTTTTGCCCTCCCCAGGCTCCAGAGGCTTTCCTTGAGCCTCCACGAGGGCGAAAACGGCCTCCTCAGGCGCTGAACTTCCAGTAGGCCCGTTTGTCTCCCTCCCTGAGCCTCTGCGCGCGCCCTGCACTTACCTGCATCCAAAACGGGCCGCGTGGGGTGTCCTGGGAGGGGAGGGATGGGGTGGGTGGGGCCAGCCAGGAGTGGAATTTGGGGGTTCTCCGAACTGCACAGAATCTTAGCTAGAGGTTCTCCCGAATCCCTACGAACTCCCAGCGTTCTAGCCCTGGTATAGCTAAAAGTCTACAGAGATTCTTAAGTGAATCTGGCTTCCCCATTGCTTGTCAGAATTTCGCAAAAGCAGATCACATGATCCCGGGAGACTGCAACCGTCATAAATGTATGTCAGTTGCCAGTTGCATCTGAAATTTTGATCACATGACCAGAGGAATGCTTCAATGGTTGTCAGTGTGAAAAAGGGTCGAAAATGAACTGTTGTAAGTCGAGGACCTCCTGTATATTAGATGTAGCAGGTGCATAAAATTATTTTCCATGCAAAGTAACAGAGTCCTTAACTCCATGCCCGACGGATAAGATAATGGGTCTCTAAATAGACTAAACTCTAACCATAAACAAACCACTTTGACTGATACCAGCTCTGACCTCATTTAGCTTTTCAGTACAGACAAAGCAGCCAGGTGCTGCCCCCTGGTGTCAATGAATGAAAAAGCAGAAAGCTAGAGTCTGGATGCCATTTTTCAGACCAGAAAATTGCAAAATTGTAAAAAAGTCAATAAATAAATTACAATTTTTTACAAAAGTTTACAAAAATTGTAAAAATTGCAAAAAACCCCAACAAAACAGGAACAGCAACAACTGCAAGGCAGTTGTGAAGAGTCACAACTAATTCGGAGGCACAATTCAATAAAGAGGAAAATTATGCTTCTGAAACTTTTCACCGTTGGAGACAATAAATGTTTGATTTCGCATGCTTGCAATACAGGTAGCCCTCAGCTTACAAACAGTTCGTTTAGTGACCATTTGAAGTTACAATGGCACTGAAAAAAGGGACTTACGACCGTTTTTCACACTTACGACTGTTGTCGTCACAAGATCCAAATTCAGCCGCTTGGCAACTGGCTCATATTTATGACGGTTGCAGTGTTCCCCGGAGTCATGTGATTCCCCTTTTGCGTCCTTCTGACAAGCAAAGTCAGTGTGACTAACTTAACAACTGGAGTGTTTCATTTAACAACTGTGGCAAGCAAGGCTGTAAAATGGAGCAAAACTTACTTAACAACTGTCTCGCTTAGCAATGGACATTTTGGGCTCAATTGTGGTCGTACGTTGAGGACTACCTGTAGAAAGTACGCTAGAGCAGGACGTGAGCTGTTGTTTCAATAGTCCCTTGTCCACTGGGCACCATCTAACTGTTAGAACAATTAATCGGTGGAACAACTTGCCACCAGAAGTTGCAAATGCTCCAACACTGGAAGTTTTTAAGAAGAGATTGGACAACCATTTGTCTGAAGTGGTATATAGCCATGATGGTGAAGCTATGGCATGCGTGCTACAGGTGGCACACAGAAACCTCTCTGCGGGCACGCCAACCTTTGCCCCAGCCCAGCTCCACCGGACATGCGTGCGTGCCTCCCGCTGACAAACTGGTTTTTGGGTCTCTGCCACACATAGGCGAGGGGGGGTGCGTGCACAGGGGGCACTCGCATTGCATTTTGGGGGTTTGCACGTGCACGCCATCCCCCGCACACCATTTTGGGCCTGGAAGGCCTCCTGCACCATCCTGGAACCCAAAACAGGGCACAGGGGTGCCCCTGTGCCCCATTTTATTTTATTTTATTTATTTAAATTTATTTTAATTAGATTTGTATGCCGCCCTATCTCTATAGGACTCAGGGCGGCTCACAACAATTAAGATATACAATCTCAATCCAAGTAAGAAACATGTTAAAATACATATTAAACGCCTATTAAAATACATTAAAAATCAAAACCCCATCAGTCCAGGCTGGGCAATTTAAACAGCCATGTTTTTAGTTCGCGGTGGAAAGTGCGAAGGCCATTTTGGCTTCCAGGTTAGTGCAGGAAGCTTTCCAGGCCCAAAATGCGGTGCGGGGATGCCGCATGAGGACCCCCATGCCCCATTTTGGCCCTGGAAAGCCTCCTGTGCCAACCTGGAAGCCAAAACGGGGCACGGGGGGGCATGGCACATGCACGGGGCGGGACTGGGG